TTTGACGTGATCAATTTGGAGACTCCTATTTTCGACTAAACCATACGCTATTTTTGCTAATCGGGAAGACAGGGTTTACCGTACCGTGGTCTGACGGTCAAACCTCCTACAAAGCAGATGTCACGCGGCTCTAATTCGAATGCATTCTGGTTTTTGGTGCTTGAGCTTCTTGGTTTGATGGATGTGTTGCTGATGATATTTCGATCGGTTTATCTTCTACTTCTTGTTTAGCTGCCAAATTTGACATTCAAAATGGCGGTGTGCCTTTTACGGCGTAATTAGTCCAAAATGCCGACTGCCTCCGAAATTGCTCGACTCAAAATTGAGCTCCATTCGATGTCATCGTTGTGTTTTGGACTAAACTGCCAATTTGTCAAGACCAAGATTGCCCTCGCCAAAATCTATAGATTAATTAGATGAGAGACCCAAAAAGGAAAAAAAAAAAAAAAGGGTATATGATCTATTTAGTGTTTAGTCTGGTTAACTTACTCTACTTCGAAAGATAGTAAGTATTCTCTTTACCTCTTTTTCTATTTCTTTATTTCTTAATGAAATTTAAAATAAAATTTCCTTTTTTTTATGCATATTGGATATTAAAATTATAAATATTTAATACTTTTTTAATATGAAAAAACTACAAAAAAATATAATCTAAATTTATAATATAGAAAATATTTAACATTTTAAAGATTATATTTCAAAATACTATATAAACGATCGAAAAGAGTGCTCTACTTTGTTTAGAAGGCAAAAGCGAAGTAAAAGTCTTATTGTTTCGTTCCCGCCTGTGCGCACATGGCTCCTATAGAGAACGTGGGAGCAACTCCTTTTGGAATGGCCCCACTGCCATTCAAAGCTAGTGGTTATTTTAATTAAAAATCGCAGAATTTCATAGAAAGGTAAGCAGGGACTAGAGATATTTGGTAATGCAAATATAGTAGTAAGGCATGAATATTATGCAGTCGGGCAATTAATACGATGTGAGTTACCATCGATCATCCATCATTTGATTCTAGGTACATTCTTTTCTATAGTCTCTGTGCAAGGAAACCATGGCATATGTTGTTTGTTGTTTTATATTTTTAATTTTATTAAATAAAAACTCTCCCTATGTAAAATCTTAATATCAAGTAGAATTCATGGTTAAATTAGTTAGGAGTATAATTTTCTTAATTCTAAATTTGACTCGATTTTTCAAGTTTGTGTTTTACTATTTTAATCTATAGCTATACCTTGCTTGTTTTAATATGCAATAACCGACGGTGAATGAGACTGAACTTTTGGCATGTGCTTCTCTTTCTTTTTGCTTTCTATGGAACGTGTGCATATACCACAATTTCTATGGAACCTTGCCCCATAGCCTATGAGCCCATGACCCATATGATTGCTACTTGGGCCTGTAATCGCATCCACTCTAGACCACAATTCAGTTATTCATTCTCACTTGATTTTATTTTTTTAACACACTGTTTTTCTTTTAAAGAGGAAAAACTAAGGATACGAAGTGAATTGGATGGCAGTGAAAGAATAGTAGGATAATTCTCATTATTTTGGAAAGTCATAAGATGAATGAAAGGGGAAACGAAAATTTCACTTTCTCTTCAACCTCGTTTACATCAAAAATAACATTCCGAATTTCGAATTCAATTAAATATAAGAGGTCATAATTTATATAATTACATAATATCGATTATGTTTCAAACACTTTGTAGTTACGTTCTTAAGCATACTGTATTTATTCTTTCAATTCTTTTAATTTTTATAATTCTTCTAATAGCCCTTTACTTATGAGAGGAAATAAAACAAAAAAAAAAGAAGAAGAACTTCAAATGTTTTATTCGTTTCCCTCTTCTAAGGGTAGTTATGGACAATAAATCTATTGAGACGCATTTGGTCGTATAAATGACTCAAGATAAATTATCAATCAGTTTTCTCCCTTCTAAAAAAATAATCATGAGAAAAAAAAACTTGTTTGTTATAATTTATCCCATTCCATATTAATCATTAATGCATTTATATAATTTGTTATTTATGGAAGCCTAAAGCTCATGTACGAGCCCAAGAAACCCATTATCTAGGTCATTGGGCACGTGGCTCACTGATAGCCAACCAACTAACCTCTCAAACGGGAAGCAATAAGTTTTAACTCTCTCCCGTCCTATTTCCCTTCCTCCGCAACAGGTCAATATTTAGGGGTGAGCAATTTGTCAGATTAGATGGTTTGGTCATCCATAATTAAAAATTAAATAAATTAAATATTTTTAAAAAAATCAATTAGAATTAATCAAATTTAAAAGAGGATTGAATGATCAAACATCAAATTGGTTTGATTAGTTTAATTTTGAATCAAAAGAATTGAAATTTTATTTTTTTATTTTTTATAAATAATAAATATTAATTTTAAAAAATTTAAAATTTATGAATTTTATCTATAATTATAAATATACAAATAATTTAAAAATAAAAAATATAACATTTGTCATTTCACTCATATAATTATATGGTTTCACATAAGATATCAAATTAATATTTAAAAATTTTAATCTTTAAATTTTAATATTTAAGACTCAACATAATAAACATAATAAAATTAATATCCACAAAATAATCTTATATAACATAAGACAATCAACTATTGCACATTATTAATATTTTTCAAAAAAATAAAAAAATTTGCACATAATTAACTTAGTATTAAGAGAATATATATAATCTTAGTTTGATTTTTTTGTTGGTTCAGTTAAAAAATTGATCAAATAAACCAATTGAATCAAATTTTTTGAATCAATTAAATATAATTTTATTATTCAAATTTAAAACTAACAATCATAAAATCAATTATACAAAAAAAAAAATCATCAAGTATAATAAAATTCAACATCATCAATTCATCATCAGCCATAAATAAAATCAATCACTATTATTATCAACCATAATAGAATAAAATATTTACATAAAATTTAAACAAATAATAACTAGATTATAAATGTATTGAGTAAGTATATTTACATGATTAATTAAATAAATAATAAATATGTTTTAAATTATACAAATACATAATAGCATGATTAACAACATGTATCCTGAATTGATTTTAAACTAAGGGACGTATTCATCGATTTGTTTGTAAAGAGATCGTACTTTAAAATTCAACGACCAAGATTAGACTGTCATTCAAGAAAAGGTTACGAAATTTGAATTGACACCACGGAGCGCCACCAATATTCAAACGAACAAGGGAGTTGCTGAATCAGTTACGTCATATGGTTGCCTTTGGGTCCCACCGTTAAAGGTGATCATCGGACCTACCCCCTCCGCCATATGGGGTCCACTCTCGAATCCTCAGCCGTCAGATCACTTGATCATCAAAAATTCATCAAACCATTCGATAGGTACAATATACCCATTTTTTTAACGACAAACAGCGTTTTTTGTCCCGGCTTCCCGTCCCGCAGCGAATCACTGATCAGCCCCGTGGCAGGACATCGTGGAAACCAACGGCGCATGGTGCCTACTTTACCAACAAACGGCGTATAAAGCTAAGGGTCGAGGGAATCCAGGGGACAGTGACAGCGCCGCCACGTTGTCTGACTGCTTTCTCCGTTAAGATTTTCCGTTTGTTTAGTTTCTCGCTTATACTGATTTCCCGTGGGATTTGAGGATTTCTCGCGGACCAGATGGTTTACACTAGCCAATGCGGATGCTGCCACGTGTTCACGGTCAATCAGATCAAAGGGAGAGTGTGGCTCACGTTAGTGAGGACCCGCGTACTGCTTTCCATAAACTAGGACTTCTATTATGAGCGAGTGATAATCCAATGATGTCGGTGTTATCGTGCCAAATTACGTCTGGACCACGTTGTAAAGGTCGTGTTCAATATTATTTTTATGACAAGCAAAAAATGGTCTTTACAATTGCGCAAAAAGAAAGTTAAGGACTTAGTAGACTGATACACATTTTACTTTCTATTTTTTGTATTTATCATGTGATTTCTATGGATGGGGTAGAAAATTGAATTTTTTTTAAATTGAAATTTAAATATTCAAAATTTTTTGTTGATTTATTTCATCAAAAGAACATTAACACTAAAATAATTAAATGTAACATATTGGTTATTTGGATTTAATTCAAATGATAATATAGATGAAACTTGGGTAATTACCTTAACTTTAAATCTTAGTCTCTCACTTTATATTAAAATAAAAGCAGGAAGCATTTATTATAAAAACTTTTAAAAGAAGTTGTTTATTGCATACTCTTATTAGGAGAAAATCACGTGAATTAGTACTTAATAACCTACAAGATTGAATTAAAAATCTTCTTAAAACACCCAAATCCTACTATAGTCAAAATTATTACCGTAATAATTTGAAAACCGTACGTCTCTTAGCCATTAAGGAACTAAGTTGCTGTACTTAAATAAATAAATTAACGAGTGCACCACACTATATCTTTCACCAAATCACCCTACTGCAATTAGTCCGAATTCCCAAAAATGCCCTTACTGTTTCCAGACAGGACAAAGATTGACGTGGTCTAGGACGACCTTGAATGGCGAGCCGTGCGGTGCGGTCAAGCTCGCACCACAACGCGCCAAGGCATTTCCATTTGGCGCTCGACTCTAGGGCTCTCGCTGGAGAACCCCCCTGCTGGGGCAAGGAAAACTGCATCAAGGGCAAAACAGACAATTCAGATCCCTACAAATTTAATTTCGTGACTTACTGTGCACAAGAGGTATGTCCTGGTCGGGAGTTCCCTTATGCAAAGCTTTAAAGTATTAATAATTATTTTTTTCAAAACCTAAAGTCTTCGAAATTCTCCGTGAACTATAGTTGGACTGGGTTATCATTAAATTCCAATTTCACCCATACACATTTGTCAGAATCTAATTGGAATCAGCTAAACGGTGACGTTTTGGGAGCTCGATTACAATGGATAATCTAGTAATTTGGAGTTTTTCTTTTTGCATTTTTCTCTATTTCTCGGCGTCTTTTATTCGCTTTTATCAGGTGCGCTTCAGTTCGAAGCTTATGGTTTGGTTGGCCTCCGAGTTCAGGAAAAAAAAAAGCCCCTAAAAATTCGCCAAAAAAACAAAAAAGGAAAGAAAAATCAGATGGTTTTCTTCTTTGTTGAGAAAGACAGTCCAAAACCCTAACGATCATCAAAACTCGAAAACAGCTCACCATGTTCAACTCTCTCTGGTAACTCTTCCATCACTTTCTCACACTTTCCATCCCACTTTCTCGAGGTTTCTATCTGTACAAGCATATCTTTTCATAATCCGATTCTAGTTTCCTTATATGTTTTTACGCTTACTTCTTTAAGAACATCGATTACTTTTTCGGTTTCCATTTCTGAAACTCTTTAAACTCCCCGATTGCTTATTTGGTTCAAAAAAACTACTTTTTAACCGTTAAGCGGATAAATTTTTTTACTGTGTTAAGTTTAACGTGGTCGTTACCGTGATGAAGACTTTGTTTAAGTTGCCATAAACAGTATTTAAAAGCTTTTCTGGTAGTGAAAGTTTCAGTTTTTCCCTATTTTTCGTTTTGTTAACTTTTCCGAACTTGTTATAAGATAGACAAAATAAAATTTGCTGCTCAAAATTTTTTTACGTTGTTGTAAGTATATTGAATTACTGTGTAGTTGCTGTGCCGGCATACTCTCTGTTTATATTTTATTTGATTTTTTTAGCTTTTATTTTTTTGGTTTCTTCAGCTAAAATCCACATTAAAGAAATAGCTTAAAATGAATGAAAAGTGAAAGCTGCTCGTAGCACGCCTGTTCCATTCTTTTTTAATTAATTAATTGCTTGTTCTGGTGTCAAAAAATGGCTTTTTCCTTTTTAATTGTTTGATTGTTGAGAAAATTTTCAGAAACGGAGAAAACTGAGGCCCTTTTTTTTTCATCCCTTTTTGTTGAAGAGTAAAAGGGAACTAATTTAATTGGTTGCAGCTTAATATTTTGTTTTTTGTTTACTAAACTATTTGCTTCTTTACTGAGCATTTTAATTGGTGGTTTATTTTCAGGGGAATGCATCAACGGGCTAAATCATTCCTTTTTTTCTTGGTTCTGTCATGTGCCATTTTTTGCTTAACTACATGTGAACCATGTTCTGTAAACGTGGTGCCAAAAATGGAGGAATATGATGGGTGTGAGTACTATGGAGATAATCATCATACTGGTTTTCAAGAAACTATTATTGGTGATTCAAATTCTGGCTATGATACAGGAACTTCAATGACTGGTTTAAGTGTTGAGAGTATCTGCACCGATTCTCATTCATTCTGTTTTCCTTCAACATTGCCTGGCTTTTCAACTGAAGAGACTAAACTTGAAGTAGGCAGTTTAGAAGTTTCTAGGAGTCAGTCTGATAGTGCTTCATCTTATATAGAACCAAGTAACCTTAGGGGGCAGGCAAATAACGAAAGTTGGTTCCCTAATCACGGTATGTTTAAATTATTAAATGGCAGGATGGTTTCTTGTTCTTTGTCTTCGAGAGATGGCATCCATGAGTTTTCATCCACTTTTACTGATGATGCTATTCAAAATGATATTTCGTGTAGAGGACCTTTACAATATCAGGAGAGTGCAAATTTTAGGATGAAAAACAACAGGGAGGTGACCAAATCAGGTTCTTTTGATGTATCGTCTTTCCCTAATGTAGATGTAAGTCCTCCTGTAATAGATTGGGGACAAAAATATTTGTTTTTACCTTCGGTGGCTTACTTGACAGTAGCAAATACATGCAACGAGAGCGATTTATATGTCTATGAACCATTTAGTACCAATATGCAGTTCTATCCCTGCAATTTTAGTGAGCTTTTGCTAGGACCTGGTGAAGTAGCTACAATATGTTTTGTTTTTTTACCTAGATGGGTGGGCTTGTCATCAGCTCACCTTATCTTGCAGACAAGCTCCGGTGGTTTCCTGGTTCAGGCTAGGGGTTTCGTTGTTGAATCCCCTTATGAGATTCAGCCATTAGTAAGCCTGGATATTCCTCCTAGTGGACAGTTGAGTAAGAATCTGTCTTTGTTTAATCCTTTTGATGAAACCCTCTACTTGGAGGAAATAACTGCATGGATATCAGTTTCTCTAGGGAATACTACCCATCATAGTGAAGCAGTTTGTAGTAAAGAAAACTTCCAGGGTTATAATGGGCACAGCTTGCTTAGTGCTGAGGATTGGTTGGTCATGAACAGTGGTAATTTTGGTTTTCCACTTATGGCTATGAGGCCGAACAGGAACTGGGAGATTAACCCTCAAAGCAGTGAAACCATCATCGAGATTGATTTATCCTTTGAAGCAAAAGGCAAAATTTTTGGTGCTTTTTGTATGAAGTTGGGGAGGCCTTCACAAGACAAGTGTGATACAGTTATGGTTCCTCTTGAAGTTGATTTGGATAGGATAGCATCCTATGAGGATCACTCAAGTTCTCTTTCAGTTTCTCTTGAGGCTCTGGTGCCATATGATGGCAGTGATACTGTTTTCCTTGCCATCTCTGTGGAAAATGCTACTCCTCATGTGCTCAATGTTGTCAAAATTAGTGAAGTTGCAGATACAAAGATTTTCCATATCAAGTACATGGAAGGGTTGCTGCTCTTCCCTGGTGTTGTTACGCAGGTTGCTGTGATTCCCTGCAAGAAATTGCCAGTTGAAATTCTTAATTCTGCTTCTGAAGCATCCAACACGATCAGAAGTTGTAAATTGTTTATAATGACAAACTATTCTATTGGCCCTCAGATTGAAGTTCCTTGTGAGGATATAATCCATTTTTGTAAGGAACATCAGCAAGGTTTGTCCATGGGTTTTGAGCATCAGTCTGAAAAGGTTAACTTTGGCAATTCGAGGACAGGGTCCTTGGGCGATGGCATGCAGTTGGCATCATGGGCCAAGGTTTGCTTGTTTTAGTTACCATGACATAATTCGAACATTCAGAATTGTTTCTTCTTTTTATTTGTGTATTATTCTGGTGATTAGTGCTCCAATGCTCTTTTATTCACTTAAATTCTTATTTGTTAGAGAACCTTTATTGTTGTAAAGTTCCGTGTGGACTGCTCCTTGGTTAGGGATATAGATAAGGTCATAATATTTTCAGGAGTGCTTGGACATGGCACAGACGTGAGCAGAGGGACTAACTGTTAAGCTCCTATAGGGAGTGTGTTAATGCCCATTCATTATTATTATTCTTTTTATTGTCTTCGTTTTGGTGTTGGGTTTTGTTTTCTGCTTTCAACTTGAATATTTGTCAAGAGCATATTGATTTGTCATCTTGTTATAAAATGCCTTGAATCCAATAAATTTTGAAGTTTCAAAACAGATTTTTCATAGGTATATATGCTGGTTGCAAAATATTCATAGGGACTAGTGGAAGTCTTCTGAAACATTAGAGCAGAGAGGATTTGAAATCAAAGAAAATTACAATATGTTCTATCGTTTGGTTGGCACACAATCGCACATTCACTTAAGCATGCAAGGATTCGCTTAGTCATAAATGCTATGGAAATTGATACCCTCTATTTATGTCCTTGCAAACATTCGCCTGTTATACATGCAGACATCTACTCTGTCACTTTAATTTCTTTTTCTCTCCATTCTGTATTCATATCAGTGAACAAATGCACATGATCTTGATGGCTTTTATGATATCAGCATTAAGCATTTAAGTCTTTATAGAATCATTAACATGCATACAGGATCTATGTTCATTGTAGCTGAGAAGGTCATGTGGCTATATATGTAGGTGTTGGAGATAGCAAAAGCAGATGAATTGGTACTTGGAAATTGGAAATCTCAAGGTACCACAAATGGCATGTCAGTGCTTGATGATCATGAGGTACTGTTTCCAATGGTTCAAGTTGGAAGTCACTGCTCCAAGTGGATCAATGTGAAAAATCCTAGCAAGCAGCCAGTTATAATGCAGCTCATTCTTAACTCAGGAGAAATTGTTGATGAATGCCGGAGCCAAGATGTTTTTATGCAGCCTCCTCCTGGTAGCTTGAGTCACAATTTGTCTGCTATTCCAATGAGATATGGGTTCTCAATAGGAGAGAGTGCACGGACAGAGGCCTATGTTCAGCCGTATGGGACAGCATCGTTTGGGCCGATATTATTTCACCCTTCAAATCGTTGTGGGTGGAGAAGTTCCGCATTGATAAGGAACAATCTTTCTGGTGTAGAGTGGTTATCTTTGAGGGGATTTGGAGGGTCAATTTCTCTAGTCCTGTTTGAGGGTTCAGAGCCCATCCAGAGTGTAGAATTTAACCTTAACTTGCCAACTTCTCTAAACATCTCTCCTCCACAAATGTTTTTTCACATGGAAGAGACTACTTATGCCTGTTCTCAGCCATTTTTAAAAGAGCTGTATGCCAGGAACACTGGAGACTTGCCACTTGAGGTAAGAAGCATTGAGGTTTCTGGGACAGATTGTGTACTTGATGGTTTTATGGTGCATACTTGTAAAGGTTTCTCTCTTGAACCTGGAGAGTCGACAAAGCTTCTGATATCATACCAGCCAGATTTTACAGCAGTTATGGTACATAGAGAGCTTGAACTGGCTTTGGCTACTGACATTCTTGTCATACCAATGAAGGCAACCCTCCCTGTTCATATGCTTAATCTTTGTAAGAAGTCAGTGTTCTGGATGCGGCTAAAGAAACTCTCTATCACTGTTCTTCTTTCTGTTTCATTATTGTTTCTCATATTCTGTTTCATCTTTCACCAAGCAATGGTCTTGGGCTCCCAAGATTATTTATACAGGAGTGAGAAGAACTCCATCACTACAATAAGGACGGGAGGAAAATCTTCTCGTGTCAATCGTAGTCAAAGAAACAGTAAGTTTTCTATGTCAGCTGAAATGGATGGTATGTTAAGCTCAGTTGGGGATGTTAAATCTTTGAAGGAGGTATCCAATGGTAGATGCCCAAATGGTCAGGTCAGGACCAAGGAACAGGGGCTAACTGATCCAAATGCAAAACTAACTCCTGAAAATGACAGGGAAATTAACAGTTTCTTAGATCCTCAAGGGAATATTTCATTGCCATCTTTGCCCTCTAAATCTGCAGTGGCCGAGAATCCTGATACAAAGGAAGCACCTCAAGCTGGTACCCTCACAATCAGGACTGGGAAAGAAAAGGGAAGAAGGCGAAGGAAAAGAAAAGGTGGATTTACCGGATTGATTGAAGTTTCAAGTAGTCAAAGTGGAAATTCTACACCGTCGTCCCCCTTGTCCCCTATAACATCTGTAACATCTAATCGAACATGGTCACTCTCTCCTGAGTTGGACCAATCTGTTGAGGCTAGAAATCCTTTTACTCAATTGGCTGACCAAACCTGTGAGAAGGTTCAAGTTCCTGAACCTATTTCCAAAGCAAATGTGTTGGGACCTAAGGTTTCTGTGGAACATGGCAGCAACAACTGGTATTCTTCGACCCAAGAACAGTCTACAGTAGCAAAACCTGTTCTATTGCCCTCTGCTACTTTTCCTTGTGCTGGTAGGGCTACTCGCAGTATGTTGAGCTTCTCTTCTCCTTTGGCTTCAACATCTGTTATGGCTCCTCATGCTCGAGCTCCTGGGTCCAAACTCTGTGACCAGAAAACCATAAATGCTGTAGGAAAGGCTAGACTAGGAGATGAATATACATATGATATTTGGGGTGACCATTTATCTGGACTTCATTTAATGGATAGTTCAAAGGATGTTGTTGCCATGAATTCTGGCACTTCAGAAAATGACTCTGATAGCTTCTTTGTAAGGGGTCCACAAACTCTCATGAAAAAGTCTCGACCAAGATTTGTAAGTTGTTTCAATCAAGAAGGGTAATGATGAATTACTAGATAAAGCTTACATGTCTTGCATCCCTAAAGTTCTTTTTTCCTTTTCTGTTAAAGGTCTATGCACTGATAATGCTTGTCTGTATGCAGTTGCACATGCACTCATGCATGTTCATCTTTGCGTGTGCATATATGTTACCTTGTGGTTACTATTGTTTCAATCTAGTCTAGCTTCCTCTGAGTTCACCCCAGTTTTCTGCCTCAACATTTAGAAAGTCTCACTTTGCTTGCTTGGAATTTTGCGAGAAATTTTTTTCCTCTACTGATAAGCAACTTTTTCTATGCGGAGTGGTTGTTCACACTGTTTATTGTTTTGAGTTCTGTACTTGTCTTCTCCTCTGTTGATGTGCATGTATCTGTTACCCTGTGTTTTCTGTTGCCATGCATCTCTATGGATGGAGGATGGCATGTCATTGGCCTGTTCTGGTCCTTCTATATAGCTATTGAGTGTAGTCTCTTAAATGTAGATTACCTAAGGGCACCTAGCCTAATTGTTAAATCTTGGTTCTATGGCCAAGGTCAGAGGTTCAAATTTCTGCAGCAGAACACACTAACAATTTCTCATGTATCAGAATATGGTATTTAAGAATGTAGATTAGGAAGCCTGGATGTGTAACATTTAATGATGGTGTATTTATGCTGTCCAACTAATTGAAAGTTAGCATTAGAAGAAGGTTGGAGGATATGGTTTGTATTGCATTAAGTGTAGCCACCTTAAGAAACGTTGCTTATTAGGGAAAGCATAAATTCCTCATTTTGTTGAAGGGCTGGTCGTGAATATTAAGTCTGTATGGTTGAACGTTTGATGGTTTATGATTATATTCCTAGTAGCAGAAAATCAACTAGATTATTTTGATCCTGGTGTGGTGGAACATGTATATTTTTGATGTGCTAACGTGTTTGTGTATATATGCCATGATGCGTGCATGGTGGGTGTGGTTGTGAATGAGCTTGGAAAAATGAAGTCTAGAACTTTTATCCTTTCCTGCCCTAGAATTTCTGATGTCTAGTGCAGGCTACTTGTTAGTTCTAAGTACTCACAGGCTCATTGGAAGGCTAGGGTACTGATCAACCGAGCTTTAAACCCAACACTATTCAAATCTGTAATCCATTTGCATATTCCTTTTTGTAAGTTAAAATTTGATTTTGTCAAGACTTTGCCAGCAATGTCTTTTTAAGCTGTCTCTAGCTGCACATATTTTTAACCTCTTAGAAATGATATGTTATTGGAAAACTGAAATTTTACTTCTTTTGCCTTTTATTTTTTAACTCCTGGCATCTGGTTGTGCAATGGAAAAAGCTGACTGTTGCTGTGGTGCAGGTGCACTCGAGGACCAAAATGTTATAGGAACCAATCTCGATTAAATTTGATTGAAATCTTTGTTTTGTCATAACTTTATTATAACACAATATTCATCAATCGTCTCTAGAGAGCATCTAATATTGTTACGGCTATAGTCTTTGTCATCACCGGATATATAGATGCTTTTTTTACCTAGGTAATATAACACTTTTGAGATGGCTAATGTTGTGTTTCCTGGTTCTCATCACTTCACTTCATAGACATATACGCTTTTGCACTTTAGAGAGATCTGCTTCAGCAGTATACTGCAAAGTGAGTTACGTTGTTTAAAGGTGAAAGAAGGACTATTGTGGCAAATCTCTGGAAGTTAATGTCTATGCTTATTTGAGTTCATGCACTTGTACGTTGTATTCCTTCTATTTTATTTATTTTATGATTTATTATTTGCATATAAGTGTAAATCTTCAATACATATATATTTCTATATTGCGCCCTTAAGCTTGCAACTTGCAAGGTGCTTTTTGGCTGTAGGAAGGACTCTCTAGAGAGTAATAATGGAACTAATTTTTTATTGTCTACTGATTTAGCGGTGACGTTGTACTGGACAAGCTCACATGCTTCTTACCTTAGTTACTTTTAGAAACCTACATGTATCCTATGTTAAGGGAAGTTGAAAGGCTTATCATAATGTGTAAAGAAGAGCTATACCAGTTTGTTCTGATAAGTTAATAACTCAATATTGGATTATACAGTAAATTTAAGATTTTGCTCCTCATTGTCATGGTTCTATTGCCTGCTTATGGATGCTCTTGGTAAGATAACAATGGGTTGATCCAATAAAATTATTGTGGTATCTAACCACCAAAGAATAAATTAAGTACTACTACAACGAATGAGGTAGCTGGAAGTATAGTTTCAGATATTGATGACTGCCTAATGCAGGGATGAGATTTAAGGTATATGCTGGGTCTGGAAGCTGAGCTGTCAATGTTTTTCTTTAGGCTGTAACCTTGCTAAATCTTGTGGCCCAGAGAGTTGCCAAGTTTTTCATATCACTGCTAGAAGGCCTGCATTTATTCTCATCTAAAATAGAGCAGCCTCGTTTCAAGGTGGTGGTCCTCATTGGTGCAACTCCCTAGTCCGACCCAACCAGGATACATAATATTTTCAAAACCATCATAGATTAGTTGATTGGTTGATAATTCTTCTGTTGAACTGTTTCTATTAGTAAACCTTAGAATCAGCTCTGGGGCTAAAACAGGGTTTCAATATGGTATCTTATAAAACATGAATATTATGCATTTGGTGGATTGGGTTACAACTTACAAGAGTCCTCCAAGATGATAGCTAATGTTATATGAGAAGGAAGTAGTGATATATATTCTGATTCAGAAACCCTCATTATGACAATTTTTGGGAAAGGCAGGGTTTTTAAATTTTGGTTACCAAATTCCTTTGAATTGTAGGATGAAGTAAATAAGTTGACCACATGCCTCTTAAAATTATGATTGCAATTCCCTTTACATTTGCTGACTGCAGCCACATTGCTTTTACAGCAGCCAATTTTGTTTTCATCAACAGAATTTGTCAACAGGGTCACACCATGCTGTCTGCAACATCACTACAAAAGGATGCTAGTCAGTTGTTGATGCATGCTGATACAGGCACGCACAGGTTCAGAACAATATCATTGCCAGGGTAGGCATTCGTTATAAAAACTGTCAGAATGTAGTAGCTTTCTCATTATAATGATTCTCTGCGTAGCCATGGATAGAGATAAGGTGGATTTTAAGTTCTTGAGAGAATGATGTTGACAAGACAGGATGGGCTTTGGTTTGTGCCGGCAACGGAGCTACACAAGGACAAGATGATTGTGAACCGAACTGTATTCGTTGGTGGAATTTCCCAGGGACCATCTTTTGTGTTTGTTTAATTTGGTTGGAAGAGCTATGGAAGCCAAATCGTGATTGGAAAGTTCCATCACCAACCCAACAAGCAAATCTGAGCTCCCAATCATTTATTTTGCTTTGGTGGCTGTCTCATTGCGCTTGTTTTGTTTATCTGTTGCCCTAGTAGTTTCAACTTGCAAAATTCCAATTATGGCTCCCTCACTAAATTCTGCACGTCGATGGAAGTTCTTTAGGCAAATGCCAGTTTCTATCCAGTGGTTCTGGCGTAATGCATGGCACCTTTCCGCGGTGGTCCAGCTTCGAGGTGTCTATTTGGACCACGGCTACAGCCAATTGGGACAGTGACCGGTCCGGTTTTTCCTCCTGGGGACCTCTCCCCTCTCTGTCCTTGTAGTCGTTCATTTGGCAAAGACACAGATGAGTTGGTTATTTAGATGTCAAAAGTACAAGCACACAAACTGACCAGGCCCGTGCAATGGTGTTCCCTTTAATAGAGACGATAAGTCAAGGATTATTTCTCCACTAACCAAAAGCATTTTTTGGGTTGAAAAAGCTTGAAAATTTGGTTGTGAGCTCGCCTAGACTGCACCACGGCACGTCCCTCGTGCAAACAGCCTTTGGTGGTGAACAATGAACACCGATAGTTTTGGTTTGCCAGCTAAACCCAGCAACCAAATTGAAAAATATGAAAAACACACAAAAATAATGCTGCAATCCTTTTTATCAAATATTTTTTCTGTCCACGTTTTTGGGTACAATCTGGCAAATGAATTTCTCGAGAAATCGATGTCATCTCCAATTGGTCACCTGTACCATGTCATGTGAGTTGTTGTTAGCAATGCTTCTCTTTACTTTTTTGATCAGATTTGTTTGATAATTCTAAATCCCTGTTTGGCTGTTTCTCGTATCAAGATCCTGCAGAAAGCAATATAAAAAAGTGTTTCAGATATTTGAGAACCAATCGTTTCCAGCCTCACAACCTAACACCTCCATGTTCTCCAATGGTTGGAGAGGAACGGACGAGAAACCTTTTCCTTTTGCATGTGGATCTGCTTTTACCCTTTTTTCCCATAGACCGGCATCAAACTTCCAGCAAATGTTTTTTCCCCGCTTTTGATGCTTTTGGCCTCACCCTTCACCCTCACTTTGAATTGAGCCCAAAATTCCATAGTGGGCTCACCTCTCCCTCCTTTGGGACCACACCAAAAACAATTACATGAAGTGGCAGCTTGGAAGATGGGACCAACTCGTGAATTATTTTCAATCGGACTTCCCTTTATTAGTTTTAGACTTTAGTTGTTCCCTTTTTTGTTCTGAACCTCATAGGCTTGATCCTAATTTATTACTTCTTACAAGTTAGCTATACCTCTTTTTTTTTAATTTGTTCTTTTTACGTGTGATGTCTTGAAGCTACTAGCCTACTGAAATCTCCAAGGATGTGATTGTTTTTATTTTAAAATACTCACACTTTTTAACTTTAATCATAATTTTATGTGAATTCAAAATCAACGGTCTATTTCGAAAGTGTAAATATTATTAATAAAAAATATAAAAAATTAAAATACTTTTTTTTTATCTTTTTTTAATTTTTTTTTAAATAATGCGGTTGCTCGGTGACACTCTCATTTACCAGCTGATCACCGTACTGTAAGTGCTTCCCAAGGGAAGGGAGTATCGATTTGGGGAGCACGATTGATGTTCTCCCGAAATATTTTATCAAAACAATTATATAGTAATAAATTTTAAAATAAATAATGAGTAAAATTAATTTTTTAATAAAAATATTAATGATTAATTAACAGTAAAATTTATATATTTAACGAAAGATATTTTCTTAAAATGAAATATTTATTTTGTAAATTAATAAACACATTTAAACTTTCAATTAAAAGTTAAGAAAATAAAAATATCTTGCCCTTGTTTCTATCTAGAGTGAGTTCAAGCTACGGGAATTTTAATGTTCTCCAACCCTTTTTTGGCTAAAAACTTAAGATATTCCTCCCTATTAAGGCATCTAGGCTTGGGATGGACAAAGGCACAGTCCCTTTCATGCATGCATATCTTTTCAACTAAAGCTTATCTCCTCCTATTTTAGGAATCAAATCTTTCATACTGATTTTTTTATCAGACCAAGACTAACGAATCTTTTTTTTTTTTTCTGATAAAGTTGGGATTAGCCTTATATAAGAGAAATGTAATTAGTTAGAATTTTTGAGGTATACCAGTCTATTAATTATTCGGTCACTTGAGGTGTTGGTGATCAATCCAAGGCATATTTGTGTGTTGGAAATTAACATTTTACCTAAAGTCCAGTAGCTTAAGTTCCAATTTTTAGTTGTTTAAAACATCTTGAATCTGATTCTTGGTGTAAGATGGACAAAGAACAAAGATGATTGGAGAAGAAGGCATTCAATGATTTCAAAAGGTTCACGCATGGTTTTCATTTCATGATAACCAAGGAGCACAGAGCTCCTAAAACGAATCATTTGAAACAAAATGAACCATTTCCCACTTTAAAAAAAAATGTAACCCTTCATGAGTAAGAAACATTTGAAAACAGTACGCTTGTGCTGCAGATTTTACTCTGCAATCCCCATTTGATCACAACATGAATCCCACTTTCTCTCATCTTAAATCATTACCTTAAAAGACTTAAAACATATAGATTTAATGCCAAAACATTAATCTAAGCTTTGATTAAGAAAATTATTTGCCCAATTAAGACAAATAGCTTGAGGCCAACCAAGCTTTGTTTGCCCCCGACAAAAAGGCTATGCAATGATGGCCCATGAATAAATAGAAACCTAAGTTAAGAAAAAGAAGAAGAAGAGATTAAATAGATGGTGCACTCACCACCTTAAAAGGGTTGGCATTGGTGAATGGCAGTGTTTGAAAGCACATGAACAATCACGTGCTTATGCTAATAAAAAAATTATGTAAAACTATGATTGAATCCATGTATCTTTCATCCTATTATATTATCATATAGAATGCCTTGGGAATGTCTCACTCAAAGCTTACTTTAAGCTGCCTTTTTTTCCCTTTTAAATAAATAATCCATGTGCTGTTGGATTATTACTTTCCATATCTTCAACTAATAATATTTTTTTCTTTATTCAATGTTATGTTGAAGTTTTAGTGCACCCTTTGGGATTATGTCACTGATTATCAACATTAAACTTGCATCTAATTTAATTAATTAATGATTAATTTGGTCCAAATTAAACTATTGGAATGAAGAACAATATAAATAGATATAGTACCTGTCCTCTAGCAATATACATACTTTCTATTTCATTGCTTCAAAAATACAGCATCAAGCATGGCGGATGGATCACGTATTCTTACTTGATGTTGCCATATTCCCAACTAAAACAAATGAGCCAAAGAAGTAGGTTATAAGAGTACGTTGATGGTTATTGGTACAACATGTATACTACTAGTATGTTTCATGATCTCCAAATCTCTTTCCATTCCTTCAACGTCAATCATTTGCAATCAGAGAGCAAGCATTAATTTGTCATTAAATCCTTTTGATCCTTATTAAGCAATGTCCAAATCATGGCTTTTAACATGTAATACTGTTATAAGGTCACATATATGTAAAATAAAGTCTTGACAAGCTTAGTAAATCATAATAAATCATAAAGTTTCGTAGTATTAAAAAGATGGAAAAGGCGACCAATTGAATATCAATGTCAAAAGGGCAAGGATTATCAGTTATGGATGAAATATAAAATAAAATAAAGGTGAGGACTGGGTAAGGGGTACGCAGCGTGAGGTTTGCATCAGGTTGACAGGTTCCTTCCATCATTAATTAGCACGTTGCGTTGCTTAGTTAAAAAGGCATTTGAGTTAAAGCCCTTTATTAAGTTTATGTTATTTTGAATGTCAATTGTACCTACCTCTTAGTTTAAATTTTAATTTATACTTAATTAGTACATGGTATCAAGTTCCTGCACAAACGAGTTGTTATCAATTATTCACATGTGCTGAGTGAGTGCTCACAAAAGTTCCTTCTGCTTCCACTGAAGTTTTCACTCATTCCCACCAAGAAAAAGTGACTCCTACAAAAGAAAGTACAAAAAGAAAAAAAAATAATTACCTATAATTTCAGAGATTATATGCTAATAATAAATGTAAGCGTTGATTTAAGATTGATAAACTTGTGTCTTAATTATGAAAAAGTTTGGATTTCATGTTTAATAAAATAATCAAATGAAAATCTCCAGTTTAAACTCTTTTTGTTAGATTTAGTTATTTTGCATAGGATACAATCAAGTTGACTTGATTAAATGTTTAATAAGTATATTCGTTATTTATATTTAAAATTTTTACACGTTTAATTAGTTAATTGTATATCGTATTTATATCTATATATTTTATATATACACAATACGATTAACATATACAAATACGAATTATGGGATTAGGTTTTAACATTGATGACCTATGACATGTCTGTCATTTGTAATATAATAGTATTTTCTTATGATTAATATCAACCACTTGGCCAAAACTTACCCAAATTTTGACTATCTAGTGAGGGCATTTTAACTACCGCTACTTAATAAATAAAGAAAATATATACTATATAAAATTATTTTAAGGACCATACATATAAAGAAAGAGAAGATGACAAAGCCTCTGTCTCTGTGGAAGAAAAGAAAGTAAACTGAGGCAAACATGAAGGAGAAGAAGCACTAGAACAAGTGGAGTATAAGTGCGGTAAGCCAGTGATGACTCTTGTCTTCACTTCGTCACTTGTTAAGAACAATTTTGTTTTTATTAAATAAAAAAAAGGCAAAAGGAAAAAAAAATTGTATTTGTTATTGTTCTTGGTTAGTCCATCTGTTACGCTATTCTTGTATGGTGCTTTTAAGCTCCAATCCTCTCGTCGTTTACTGCCCTTCTTCTCTTCATCTCTTGTTTGCTTTTGTTTCTTTGCTTCACTCTTTTCGAGACCCTTAAAATACTAATAACAAAACTTTGATCCATGGAGTAGCGTTGTTTATATATATTTACCATGGAAACTTACATGTAAAAACGCATTATACATTGCATGCATTTCTGTTTCTTGGTCGCTTTACTTTCAAGTTTCCCGCTCTGTAACTTAGAATAAACAAAGGGTATACCAGAAATTTCTATCTTTGTCTCTCGCTCTCTCTCTCATCTTTTTATTAACTTTCAGAGAGTTTCAATGGTTACCTTGTTTTCTTACTTTTTTTCAGGTCGTGAAAATATTAGAAGTTAGAGTGTAGATATTGTTGCATTATTTGCTTGTTTTATTTTTTGAGGCCAAAAAGCCAAAAAAAGAAAGAAAAAGAAGATGATGAACACAAGAGTCCGCACCGCTCTTCAGACCATGAAAGCTCCTTTAAGTCATGACAGCAATAAAGTAACTTCTCTCTTCCCTCTTTCCTCTTTTTTTTTTTTCTCATTTCGACCCTTTGTTGGTTTTTGGAAGAATTTGAAGATTGGGTTTTTGTTAATTGTTAGTTTGAGTGGCCAAAGATTGATTCTTTGTGGCTTAAACGTTGAAAACTTTGAAGAAAATTTGGATTTTTGATTAATGATGCTAAATTTTGGATTTTGTTTTGTTGAAGAGTTTGGAGTTATTTTCTTTTTTAATTTAACTTTTTTTGGGATATTATTGCTTGTGTCATAAAAAGAGAAGTAGGAAGCACTTTTGATCCAAAATCTGAAGTGGTACTTACACTCGTCTCAAGAAAGGAATACTGTCTGCTTTAAGTTTCTTTGTTTCAATTGTTCTTTTTATTTATTGACGTTTTACCATTTTCCTTTTGATTGTACAAAGAAGGAGAAGATGGAGAAGAGTCAGGGAAGCAGAGCACTTGGTACCGGCAAAGCTCTGACTAATCGGCGAAGATCAAACAGGGAAAGGAAAATGGCCTTATTACAAGATGTACCCAAAACAATTCACCTTTTAACTTATTCAATATATTTTTTTTTGAAATTTTTTTCTAATTTTTTAATTGTTGTGGTGTTGGTAATTTGCAGGTTGATAAGCTAAAAAGAAAGCTTAGACATGAAGAGAATGTGCATAGAGCTTTGGAGAGAGCTTTTACCAGACCTTTAGGAGCACTTCCTCGGCTTCCTCCTTACCTACCTCCTTCTGTAAGTCTAACTTTCTATTTTTGGATCATTGTCTCAGCTCTTTCTTTTTGTTCCATCAACATGGAACATATAAACAAGCCTAAAGGGAGGATGAGAAAGAATTAACTGCATGCTACATTTATGGAATTCTTTGAGGAAGAAATGTATAGTTAACCTGGAAGCATTCACATGCTTTCTGTAAATCTGGTTTAGAGAGTGAATTGGGTTTTGATTTTTTTTTTTTTTGGGTTGTAGACACTAGAGTTACTTGCTGAAGTAGCTGTTTTGGAAGAGGAAGTTGTTAGGCTTGAAGAGCAAGTGGTGAATTTTAGACAAGGCCTCTATCAGGAGGCTGTCTATACGTCTTCAAAGAGGAATGTGGAGAATTTGAATGAATCAATTGAGCAGTCTCCGGTCAGAAGTTCTAAACACCAGCGATCAAAGTCTTTGTCCATAAATGAGATGAGTTCGGTGACAACCATTGGCAAGCCACAACCATCCCTTGCCAGAAGTGTTTCAAGCAGAAAGCTATTGCCTCCAGATAGTACTTATGATCGAAATGGGCAGTGCTTTAGCAGGCCAACAAATGGGAGACAAGCTTCCACAAAACTCAATTCTGCTTCTGGAGATGTAAGAGGAAAAGAGAATCAATCATTTGCCAATGCTGTGAAGGATAAGCAATCCCCTGAAAAGAAAATTCCCAAAGTTGTGACCCCAGCAAAGAGACTTCCTACCAAGCATGAGTCAGCTGACAAATGTTTGGATGCTCTGAAGTCACAGGTATGTTCTGATTTCTGGTGACAAAGAAGACTTAGTATACACTTCATTATGGTTGTATAATTGTGGGTTTTTTGACTGTCCAGCTAGATGGTAGATTAGTAGACCAGGAAAGAGCACAAGAAAGCCCTTCTGGTTCTTCAGATGATAAAGTATCAGAAGCTGATAGTACACCAAACAAAATATCTGAGGATACTGTAAGGTGCTTGTGCAGCATTTTTGTGAGGTTGAGCACCTCAAAGGACAAAGCCATGGAATCTGGGATTTTACCTTCCCAACCAGTAGCCAATTCTCAGGAAATAAGTAGAGAAAGTGAATTTCAAGACCCTTATGGTATCTGTTCAGATTCGAAAACTAGAGATATTGGCCTCTATAAGAATCTTTGCACAATTGAAGCTAATACAGTTGATCTTAGCCGAATAATGAATGCTTTGTTTCTGATCCATAGACTAAAGTAAGTTCTTTTGTTGGTTGCTCTTGCTTATATGTATACATTTGTATTTAGCCTATCTCTATGACAATCATTTCAGGTTCCTACTTGGGAAGCTCGCATCTGTCAATTTAGATGGTCTTAGCCATCAGCAGAAGCTTGCATTCTGGATAAACACTTATAATTCCTGTATGATGAATGTAAGAATGTTTAATTTGATTAAATTTTTAATACATTCCAGTTTCTAGAAAGTTTGCTGAACTTTATTTAATATATGCAAAATGCAAGAGCATAATGTTTATAGTACCAATCTGTTAGGCAATTCTGGAGCATGGGATTCCTGAGACTCCTGAATCAGTTGTAGGGCTAATGCAAAAGGTTTGATTCATCTTTCATTCTTCTTTTTATTTCTATCTTTTATCTTCCACTGGTTATATTAGTTTTACCAAGATGGATTGTCATATTTGATTGACTTTCACTCATACATTGAAACTTGAATTGGAGTAGAAGTTAGAAATGGTTTAAGTTTTTCATGCCAGAGGCAAGACTAGCTGGTGTGAACATGTAATGATTTGCCGAGGATATTATTTATTGGTGTCATTTTCTTCTGTGCTCATCACATTAATCTCTGAAGTTACTGAAGCTGCTAACTAACACTTAGTACTGCACTTGTTAGCTGTTGCATGTGTATAACACTCACTGTATTAGACAATGGTTGCTATGTTTGAGCTACTATTGACATCAGCTGTTGGACAATTTGACTAAGATTCATCTATGTTTATGGCTGCCTCAGGCTACAATAGTTGTGGGAGGACACTTGCTAAATGCAATAACGATTGAGCATTTCATTTTAAGGCTGCCTTTCCATCTAAAATTTGTAAGTAAAATTGTTCATCTTTCTTGGGTATAATTTTACTGGAGAGATGATTGAATACACCAATATGTTTGTCTTTATTGGGCTGGCGTTTCTGATATTTTAAAGCAAATTTGATATTGCTGACCGGGTACACCTTGTCCTCTTTTTATTGAAGACCTGTTCTAAAGCAGCAAAATATGATGAGATGAAAGCACGGAATATATTCGGACTGGAGTGGTCAGAACCCTTGGTTACATTTGCTCTTGCATGTGGAAGCTGGTCATCTCCAGCAGTAAGTTTGCTGCAGAATCATTCTCCATTTTTGTAGTATAAGGAAACATTTACAATTCGATAATGCATTCTGTCCCGTAGGTGTAGGAAAAACTCTCATTAGCTCTCACAGAACATTAGATAATGCTTAATCAGCTTCATTATCAAATGCCATCTTAAAGGAAAAAGATAATTACAAAATGATCAGAACTCCCCTGCACCACCCCTTCCCCCAAACCACAAAGGAAGTTTGAGGTTCAAAACTTTGTGATGGTTAACCGTCCTACGATCCTTTATGTAAATGAATGTTGTTATGTTTTCTAAGTGCTGCTACTCTGGTTTTGCTTATGAAGGTGAGAGTATACACAGCATCTCACGTTGAAGATGAGCTGGAAACAGCCAAAAGAGACTACCTACAGGCAGCAGTTGCCATTTCAAGAACAAACAAGTTAATAATTCCAAAGGTTTTGGATTGGTATCTGCTTGACTTTGCAAAGAATTTGGAATCATTGCTGGATTGGGTTTGTCTGCAGCTCACAAATGAACAGAGGAACGAAGCAGTTAAATGCCTAAAAAGAAAGGGGAAAGAGCCTCTTTCACAACTAGTGCAAGTAATGCCATATGATTTCAGTTTCAGATTGCTTTTAGGCCGTTGAGAATTATATTTTGAAATTGCTATCGTTCGTTCAACAAAAGGTTCATGAGCTTGTGGTTGGTGGGTCTATATACTGAATTACTAATATACTAGACACAGTGAAAGTACATATGTATTCTAGCATCTGTAAAAAAAGAGAAAGGGGGTGGAGGTGAATAACTGGTTTTACTTATAAATGGATTCTGGAGATGGGATTGGTTCATTGATATTGATTTTTCAGAGTATTCATTTATGCTATTGTTCTGTGCCATCAATTAAATTTTTCAAGGACCTTGGCTGTGAAGAACAAACATGAATTGAGCCTTTTTGGGCATTAAGCTTGACCCATTGATGCAGAATAAACCATGAAAGAGCTAAATAACAAGAAAGTCTACTCCCTTCCAATTTCTTCTGAGGTGTTGGTTAATGAAGAATATATACCTTAACCCATTGTACCCAATGGCAAGAAGAAACCGCAAAGGGACTCAGGCAATTCTGAAAATGACGATCCTATTTCCCGCGCAACGAACAAAACAGAAGGTCGGAAGAACCCAAAACAGAAGGTACTCCTTGTCTGGCCTCGGTCTACTTTCGTTGACAAGACAGCAACTTGATGCCACCATTTCACGATTTTGTTCTTACAAAACAAGCATTTATGTATGTTCTGTCGGATCGCTCACAGGTAACTCCAGATAGCCTGTGAAACATCCACTACTGTTTCTGCTTTTTTGAGCGCAGAATACATCAATCAGCTGTTTAACCGTATACAGAGATGCACGTTACTATTATTAGTTCAAGGCAAAATGGAAATTTTCTTCCGGTTGAAAAAACAAATGAGTGGGTCGTAAATTCCTACTGCACGACACTTTACGAGGTGGTGAATGTTTTCTTCTGGGTTTTCTTTCTACAGTGTCCTACTTTCTACGTTGGCAATGTCGAAGCATCTCCAAGACTGACATGTGAACTTTGACCCGCGCAGTCACAGTTAGGAACGACTCATTGTAGCGCTAGGCTTCACGTTGCACAACAGCTGCTCGATTGAAGCTAATGAATCAAGTAAGTGTAGATTTTCTTCGAGCTGGTGATAAATGAGAATGAGCCAAAAATGAAACGTTCATATAGGATACGAGGTATGTTACAGCATATGTTGGTGTCACGTCGCACTAGCATTCTAGTAACTACGAAAGAAGTACCTTAAAATAGGTTAATTATTTGAGAATAAGATCTGAAACACCAATCAAAATTTTGTTTATAATGGGCATATCACCAAAGGTATTTACAGCCAAGGAATTAGTACACTGTTAGAATATGAAATATTACAACACTGGAAGGTCCTAAGTCACAACAAACCAATGGGACTAAAGGTGATATTCAAAGGAAACGAGGGGTGAGTAACAAGGGAGGAAAAAGAATCATATACAAATAAATCAAAAGTGAAACTATATACCTAGTGGCCGCTGCTAGATTCTCAATGACAAAAGGACCCAACACCTGAAAGGGGTCAAAACAAAAGTAAAATGAGTGCTCCTTAATGGAGATTTCCGTAGCAGAGGCTCCTGAGTCGGAGAAAACCTCTGACATTGACGGTGAGCTTCCAGGAGAGTTTGATAGATTATAGGAAAAGCGGCTATGATCTCAGCCAAATGGCGAAGCAACTGGGGCTGCCCCTCCTAGAGCATCTGATCTTTTAATACTTCCCATGCCACAGATAATGCATCCAGGCGCTGAGAGAGCTGAAAATTTGGCCCCACAAAGATCACAAACATCATAGCCAATAGTTGACAGACGGCTGAGAGTGGCACCGCAGAACTGAGAGGGATCTTCCAGTGGATCAATAGACTTGTTGGTTAAACCCCTCTGAACACAAATGTCAATCAGGCTCCTCAATTCCTCTTGCTTACCTGGAGGTGCCTTGGAGAAGAGAAGTTCAAGCATCTGCTTGGCATAAGCATAATTCTGAACATCCATATTTCGTTTTATGGCAGTGCGGATGCAATTTATTCGGTGGTTTGCCTGAAGAGGCAAAGAACCTAGATGTCTAGATAGTCTAGCCATCTCATCTTTTGCACTGAGTGCACTTGGGCCTTGGACCTTTTGCAACCTTGTAATTTCCTGCGGGAGAACCAAAGTAATATCCAGTCATGAAAGATGATTTCATGTTTAAAACTAAATAACAAAGATTGAGGCTTGAGATTTTTAATTGGGTATAAAGTAAGCAAATGCTATTGCTAAGCTAGCATATCCACCTCAACAATTAATTCTAACGTTTGAATGCATGAATTGTTGAAGTATCATCAATTAGCATAAACTACCCAGCTAGATACAATGGAAAACAATTGATTTAACTAACGACATATTAAAATTCTGAATAATGGTCCATGTCCCCAGAATAGATACATTCTTGTTCTGTGGAGATCAGTACATTTTAAGATCTCTAATACCATGAGCACAATAAGAAGCCTTTGGAGTTACACCCATACATGATGCAACCGTCCTTAAGTGCTAATGAAAATCATTAAAATCTACTAGCAACAACACAGAACCTAAACAAGGACAGCATCATGACAGAAGAGAAGGAACATTCAACCTAAATTGATATTTGCAAAATCTGACAGAAGCTTAAAACTCTTAGCTCCTAAAATAGTAGCTTGACTATTGAATATTTGGCCAAAATAAAAATCTCACACAGGATGATTAAGAGCTAAATCATAACCTATCACCATCAATCCATTTTAGGATTTAGTCTTTAGTACAAGAAAAAGACAAATGCTGTAGTTTTTAAACGTTGGTGCCTGGAAAACAATGCTGTACCTGAAGAAGTCTTACTGCTATCTTGTACTGAGCACAAATGGTAGCTTGAGCTTTAATATCAGCTCCACGAGAGTTATCCTTAGCCAGTGCCAGAAAAGCTTCATCAAAACAGGATAATGCATCTGGAAGTTGATTCTGCTCAAGATGAGCAAGCCCAGTCCTGAAACATACGGAAGCTGCTGCCCCACGTGGAACCTATCAAGGGAAAATATAAAGTAAATTCAAGAATAAGGGAAGCTACATAATAAACACATCTCCAGAGAATAATAGACGTACAGAGTTGCCAACACACAAGGACAGATTATTGCTACAAAGCCAAATAGGCCAACAGAACCTTTATTCCAAATACCGTTAGGAAATTATTTCGTTTTTTTCCCAGGCAATAAGTTATGCGACTTGAAGTTATTAGGAACATATAGCTGTGTTTATAGAATTACAAAACAAAAGAGCCTTCCATAATTAAGAATGACAGAAACAGAGAGAAATGATAACATAATATGCATATTCACCTGTCCAGGGCGCACAGAGGTTGGAGCAGAAGCAGAGGGAGCAGGTTTTTCTGACTCTGCAGAGTTTGGAACTCCAAGAGCACTAAGATCAAGAGGCTGTGTGGATAGTGGCGTCTGTGCAGGCTGAACTTGAGGCTGTGGCATACCAGCAGCTGGAGCAGAGTATTGTGGAGGAACACCACCATCAGGAAGCCCAATAGAATCAAGAGGAATAGGTCGGTCATGGGCTTGAGGTGGTACCCCACCATCAGGGAGACCAACATCCGATGCAGGTGCAATTACCTGGTCAGGTGGTACCTTTCCACCAACTTCAACCTGTCGAGAAGTTTGATCCAACTTTGAAAGATAAGTTCCTGGAGGAGGCAAAGCAGCTGCAACCTGGAGGGATGGTATTGTGTTTTGGAAAAAGTCCTCAGGTATAGGTCCAGCAGCAATTCCCACACCCTTGGTTGTAGGAGCTGTTTGTGATACCGATGCAGGTTGTATCCATGAGTCAGTACCAAAGAGATCTCCAGGGGCAGAAACTGTAGGGTTAGTCACAGACCCACTGGTAGCAGGATAAGGTTGCTGCTGGCTCTGACCAAGGTCCTGAGAAGCACCAGTCAGTGACTTTGTCCTGCTTATAGGTAGGCCCAAGCCATCACCAAGTCGCTTTGTTGCTTCTTTAATCTTATTGACATCCACAGTGCCTGGTGTAATCGGCTTGTCTCGTATTCTGATCTGTAACTTTTTAGTTTTTGACACTCCCTCCTCATCACTGCTGCTACCATCATCAGCTGTGCCATACATTGTTTTCTTAAATTCTTCAGCAGCTTTAGCCTGTTCATCAGCAGCAGTGGAACTATCATATGGTTTGGTTAAAGTTTCCAGACCCATCAAGGAATCAACCCTGGATTCACCACCCAGAACTCCGTTGGACTTATCTATAGATTTAATCATAGAAGTATGGACTCCATTTGGCTTGTTGTCACCTGCTGCAGGTATAAAGGCCTTGACCAAGCTATCTTCCCTTACTTCAATAATATTACCTCTTCCTTTGATAGAACCAAGGTAAACACCAATATGATCTGTGATAATTGACGGAATGGCACCATCATCAGTCTTCATGTATGGCATAACTTCAGCAGCAAGCTCCCATTGAGGTATACTCTTTAAGTTTGTAGGGGTCTTAATTTCCCAGTTTCCACCACCCCATTCAGGTCCTTTAGGAACCATACTTTCAGCAGCAAAGTTGGCAAAAATGCCTTGTGTCCAACCACTTGAGCGGACTCTTAATATCCTTTCACAATATCGCCTCAATTCTGAATCAGCACCTTCTTCCTCCAGCCTCTGAGCAAGACGCCGCATAGCACTGGGGTTGAGGTGGCATATAAACAGGTCCAGCATGCTTTCATAGTCTGCTATGACTTCAAAAGTTTCCTTTGCACTGTCAAACTGGCCATACCTGCAATTTCAAAATTTGAGTCTCATTAAGCAAAAAAGGACCATAAAATAACAATTCAAACAGGCATGAAGGCGCAACAATGTCAATGGTTAGAAGATCAGAAGATGTATAGTGTTCTTAATAAAGATTACATAATATTAGACAATAATTCTAAAGAAAGATGCTTAAACTAAGAAGCACACAATATTTGTATGTTGAACTTCTGATAAAGATCCCAATGGACACAGATAACTTTAAGATAAAGATTCAAAAAGGTATTTACCACAAACAAAAATTTGTAGTCATCTATCTGAAATTTACATGTACGGAAGGTTGGTATGAATACTAATTCAAATTTTCAGTGCACAATGGTAGCAATCATGATATTAATATGAACTCTAAACCACAGGCCAGCAAACAAGTATCTAGCATGATATATTACAATTTAATCTTCTGAAAAATACCAACAGATCCTCTTCTTTTATAAGAAGGTAGCTATCTCCATTGACAAGAAGTTCCTTAAAAATGTTTAAACCCAGAAATTTAGCAGTGACAAAGACAGTGGTTGATGCTTACTTGATACAGGCATATCCCAACTGGTGGAACCGGTGGAACAAATGAGAGGTTGGTGGGCATTTTGGATAATCCCTAGAACGCACAAACTCATCCTTCAAAACAGATAAAGCAGTAGAAAAACGAAGTGCTTTGATTGCATAGACTCCCCGCAGCACCTAAGTTTGTTTTGTAGCAAGTTCAGAACCAAAAGTAAAAGGGTAGCAAATTGTGAAACATATCACATAATCATTCATTCACCTGAGTGAACTGTGGACCTGCTTGCGATAATGATACTGCAAGATCTCCACAAACTGGAGGACCTCTAGCTAGAATATCAAGAGATCGAGGAGTGATACGTAAGCTGTCAAACCTTAATAAGGTAAAACAGTAGAAAAGTCAGATGTCAAGTTTCATTCATAGATCCACTTTGATTATAGCTAATGCAAAATAGTACATATTTACACATCAAATAGGAGCAAGACTTCAACTAAATGAGTAACATCAGGCATAAAACATTGAAAGTATACAAAGTAAGGGAGTATAAAACCTTG